TGCGTTTGAGTAAGAGGGAGTTACTTGTAAAAATCGTAGGATTGCATGAGTAAGGCAACCTACTGTAGGCTTGGGCGCGACCACTTCAGGCTGGATAACTTTCTCATAATAGGTCGTAATGCTTGATTAACTTTCACAAGATATTTCACTGTACGACGAACTAAAAAGGCGCACTGTGTAGGTAAGTAAACGTCACCTCTACTCAAATGGTGCAAAATCATAAGTCGTGAGTAAATACTCACGTGATGCCTTCTGAAACATATAATCTCGGAACGCACCAAGAGAATTCCCTGTCAGGGCCTGTACTCCTGCATCAATTTGCGACCGCTGATTGGCTGGGATCCGACCAATTCCAACAGACCTAACATGGTTATCTAACGAATCAGCTGCAGAGTCTAATAAAGGTAAATACAGCCTCATCATGCATGGTATACTTAATAGCATGCGTTTCCTACTATTTCTCCTGACTTTTCTGCAACATCATGCTAGGGCATGTTTTTGGACAGCAAGTAAGCATTTAAGCATAGTATAAAGGGAGATGTGATCTCATTGCCAATAAAGAACCGGGACTGCATTCATATTTTGGTATTTTAATAGCTCCGACTAAAAGAGCTTGTCACAATTGGCTCCGCAAATGCTTCCATTAAACATGTAATTAACTCAGATAAATGAAAGTGCCTTGTAGTTTAGTTGTTTATACTGCAATAAGTCATTACTTTTTCCTTTTACTTTATAACAGCAAATAGGTGTATCAAGTAGTCGGTTACGAATATCATTTTTGTCAAATGTTCCAGTTACTCAACGTTCGGATTTTCGATATTTCTCGCCTACTTTCAGAATTTCCACGTACAAACCAACAACTTGACCTGACAAATACTGTAGAATATCTAATCGGACAACTTGACAATATTTATTATTCGAAGACCGACAGGTCGTGTGACCATGTCCATCTCCAGATGGAACTTCAAGGAAATGTTGCTGTACTTCGTGAATGCGACTATATTAAGAACATTAAAGAGGCTAACTTCCAGCAGTACAGATGCGGTGTGCAGTTTCCCATCGTAAAGTATCTTCTAGCAATTGATGTACGGAATGAAAAGGTACACAATTCTGTGCTTTCAGTACATGCATTCAAAGGACCAAAATCCGAACATTGCTAAACCCTTTTTAATGACTCCTATTTTTTAGCATAGAGAAAATCCACTGGTCCCTACGAAGTACAGCGTCATCGGACCCACATCAGTTACCCTTGAGAATGTTTCATTTACCGTTGCGGTTGATCAAACGTATTGGGATCAAGGAACCACGCGAAAGGACGAGGTTCGCATATCTGCCATTGAAACTGACGATATTCCCGCCCAGCTGAACAGTCATTTTCTTTGCAAAATTGGAGATGTCTCTAAGGTGCAACCATTAACCTGGAAACCTATCATAAACCAAGCCCTTCGAAAAATTAAGCCATTATACTGTTACTGCTGATTTAGTAAACATCATTGTATTTTTCACCACATGCGTTCTGTTATTAAACACGTGTGGGGTGCCATTTAAAGTATGCCTCATCGAATTTTCGACAAGAATGACAATTTACATATTTGCTGTTACTATGGTGTTTTTCATTTAAAGTCACAGAAGAGGAAATAAGTTTTCATCTACGGAAGCCTATTCTCGTTAGCAGAAAGGGCGCTTTTACTTGAATCGACTACCAACCTGGCTGTTTCGCAATGAGACATTGAATTCATTTCCAATCGAATTTGGTCCAAGTCACCTCTTGTCCTTGCGTTTGTTTAAAATCGGCCTTTGGCGGAATATTCCTCCCAGAAAAGTCATGATCTTATCTGTTTTAGTTTGAAATTTAACCAACTGCTTGTTACTGGCATGAGAATACGTAAAATTCCCAATACTGAAGTAAACTCTACTGCAACCTAAGTCGGAAACTTTAATTGCAAGAAAACACGGAACCAGCATGTTTTAATTGTGCAAGCGACGGTGACAGCAGTATTGCAGAATAAACACGCGGTACAGATTAGGATTTGCTTTCGGAAGGAAGGCACTTTGTGATATAAAACGTCATGTCTGTTGTAGCGACTTATTCTCTACAAATATATAAAACGTCTAGTGAAAATGCCACGAAAAGCTTTCTAGTGTAGAGCTAACTGCTACTGACTAATCTACAGACTACACTAGTTGAAAAAGGGAGCAAAGACTGTATACAAGTGTGGCGATAAAAATTAAGAATTATACGACTCACTTAGCTCCTCGACGATCCTTGTCAGCAGTAGCGAAGAGATTGACTTGCCAAAGGAGCGGTCCGTGAAGGCCAGGATCTCAGTTCGAGTTGCAATCGGAAGAGTCGGGAGGAATCTCGTTTGTTAGTTGCCGTTAGTTGCTCCTAAGCCCGGAAATGATCACCAGAGAATGGTGTCGTTGGAGGGCAAAAAAAACAGCGGCTGGTGAGGTTGGAATATTATGAGAGGCGAGGTGGTGTACGCAAAGAGCGATGAGAACTCTGCACGTCGTAATAATCGAAAGTGTGGCTTGCGTTAAAACAAAAATAATAATTGTTAGTAAATTTAAACAACGTACAGGTTGGGCTAAGGGCCCACACTGTTCAGCCTCTGTAGATATTATGCTCCGTTCCTTTCGAAGGGTGTATTGATTGATCGATTGGCTGATATAAAACTGTTTTTTTTGCCATTAGCGTCTAATGGATTTGAAATAGCACCCTATACGTGACTGATATTCAGACAGCAATCCTAATTATAGAAGCTAGCCTAGGGGATAGTTTTCTGTATTGTTAACACAGGATGTGGAATCGTCAGAAAATGAGAACTGATGCGAACAGACATTTTAACTTGCTACCGTCTGCAGATTTTTGAGGCTAATTGTAAATTTACTTGGAATCCTCATATATACATAAACATCGTAATGAGATGCCTCACACACCCATCGAGATAAATGAGTGTAGTCATATTGTCATTCTTAGCCATACCGTATACCAATCAAGCACTGACAGACACGTTGGTGTACGTTCAGGAGATCGCTGTGTATAACGGATGCTGGT